ACAGCCAGCCGTTAAAGCCAAACGTTACACAACTTTATGAAAATCGGCTGATAAAACTCATTTTGTGTTAAAATAGCCACTAACATACGCGTCAAAAGGATCAGAAAGCCATTTTATAATTTTTAGCAATATTTACAAAAACATGGCTGATGCTAACGAAAGCTTGTTGTCGTAAGATCGAGCATACCTGACACAGTTTTAGTCACCGATAACACTCTCAATGTCCGCTAAACACAGGAAGAGCTATTAACCTCAGTGTCCAGCGTGAGAGCACCGGTCACTGGACAGCATGCAGACTTCCTTCATACCTTTTAACCGTTATAAAAAAGTGAAAGCCGTTTACAACTCCCTGTAACGCCAAATTAGAGCGCAGCTCTTGAGGAGGAGGAGGGAAGGGTACTGAGGGGAGGGTATACCCCTCCTCACCTCCTTATTCTCTTCCTCCCCTCATTCTTGAATCTCCTGGGGGGGGGGGGGGGTTACGTGACCTGGGGGGGGGGGGTCGCGTGACCTCGGGGGGGGGGGGTCACGTCAGGTCACGTGACCGCGGGGGGGGGGGGGCTCGCTCGGTGCATTATGGGACATGTCCCATAATGCACCGCGCGGTTACGCCGACGGCGACGGCGACGCCACTCAAGCCGGAAACGGGCGCCTAAAGAGCTGCGCTCTAAAACACCCTCCTCATGTGCAGAGGCGTAGCCTCCCCCATCTCCCCCCCCCCCCCCCCGAAATCCAGTCGACCCTACACATGCATTCTCACCCCCCTTCCCCTCTCCGCACCCCAAAGTCATGGGCATCCCAGTCATCTCAGATTCCCCCCCCCCCCCCCCCCCCCCCGAACAACATTCCTGGCTACGCCACTGCTCATGTGTTTAAGAAGCTGGAAACTTGAGCAGTAGCTTGTAAAAAGAGCAGGCTTAGATTAGCTTGTTTTATAAATGAGAAATACAGCAACATTTATTAACTGAATAAGCGGATGCTGGCAATAAGCCCCTTTGCAATCATCTGATGTTTAAAACGAGGCTGGAATGGTTTCTCCTCGATACTGCTGACCCGATGCTCAAGGCAGGGGTTTCAAACACGTGGCCCGCGGGTCGCATGCGGCCCGCGCCTCGCTGGGATGCGGCCCGCAGGTAATCGGCTTCGGGCCCGGGCCCGTTCCATATGCATGACTCGAGCGCTTGAAATGGCATCCGCCATAATGACCTCATGTCGCCGTTTGACTTCCGCTCAAAACTTAGCTATGTTCTAATAACGTATTCGCATAGTTTATACTATTCTGTTTTTATTTGCTTTTTGTTTTCTTTTAATTTTTGCTTTCCAGCTTTTTGCTATATTAAAATCATCTGTATGACAATAGACTTTTTGCTAATTTAGTCAAGTTCAAGGAGAGTGCGCGAGTGTACTTCCACGCGCTGCGCGTACAGCCTCCTGCAGCAGTAACTGTTAAAAAAAAATCCAATACAAATTAATCAATCGCCTGAATTTGCAGGGCCATGACCGACAATTTACGAATTTATGAAAATTTCTGCTTTTCTTTCGAGCAGAGGTCGTGATGTGACAAACTTCTCTGTCCCGTATTCGATGCGGGAGGAGCTAAGCATTAGTTGCTCACCAGCATTTGCTCGTCAGAAATTGTCGAGTCACACTTGGAAAGAAGAGTTCGTATCGGGGCAAGCTCAGTGTAGCTAAAACCAGTGCGCGGCGCTTTGCAACACAACTGTGCGTGTGTGCACAGCTAAGACAGCACGTCATTCACTCTGGTGAATGCAAAACCTTTTTCCACAGCAGCATCCACAGACACGAAAAAACAAGAATCAGAAAGGCTGTGAATAGACGGATTTGATGTCCAGGGGGCACGCCAGTGACGTCACGGACGTCCAGATTCTATTTGGTGTTTTTTGATGCAAACCCATTTTATTTGGATGCCACCTACTGCATTTTGAAACGTCGGTCGGTCGGCGAGTGTGTGCGCGTGGTCTGGTGCTTGGCGGCTCGGCGGTGTACTCGCTGGTGTGTGTCGACGTGCCGCCTGTGCTCGTCGCGTATCCAGAAACAGTGTTTTCCAATTTCGTTCGCCCGGTACCGTTGGTCACTCCTGTCGCAAAAGAAGATTCGTAGTGACTACAGTACCGTCCGACGGCACTTTTGCAGAGCGTTTAAGTGCCGTCCGACGGTACTCCACCGACGGTACTCCGCCGTCCGAAAGTCTCATATAAAACGAATTGCCAAAACGTGGTTTCCGAAGCTGCTCGTCTGTTAACCGGGACTGACTGTTAGTGTTATCTTATGATCTGTAAACCGGGACTGAATTTTTTGTCTCTCTGTCCTCATAATAGAATTACAAAACATATAAAAGTGTCCACTCATGTTACGTGTAACTGCAATATGTAAATAAACTTCTTTTTATTGAAAAAAAAAAATGTAGCGTGGCTTAGCGGTTAAAATGTCTGCCTTATACGCAAGCGGTCGTGGGTTCGATCCGCAGTGGAGGCTTTTTTTTTTTTTTTTTTGAACATTTTGTTTTGTTGGGACATTTGGCGATATTTACGACATTTCTATTTTACGACTAACACTAAAAAAAATGGTGTCGACGACAGTGCTAAAAGCGCGAGCTAGTTGCTTTGGATCGCAGCGAGTGCAGTCATGCCAGTCAAGGCTACTCGCTCGCCGGCACACTCGCTGCCAAGGCTGCCAAGTGTGCCTGCTTTTATTTTTTTTAATTCTGTCATCCAAATAAACAATTCAGTTGTAAGTTACGCCGCGTCCTGTCTAGTTCTCCCTTCGTTTTTTGTCCCTGTTGTTTTGGCGTATTACACCATGATGCAAAACCAACTAGCCCAACTAGCCATCCTTATCCAATTTATTTCTTCTACAACGGGCCTTTCTACATGTTTTCACAATATTTTTCCTTCGGATCTTCTCGTCCATATCAACCTAATTGCCGCCTCGACATGCCAGGCAAGACTTTACTCGTTCGCAATTCGCCGCGGCTTCAACCCGCCTGAAGTGCTGCGTCTCCTTGGGGGTGTTCCACCTTCAGCCGGTCACGGGAAAAGGATCTGCAGGATACTCCGTTGAGAGAGGTGGAAGCATGTAAGCAGACTTCGGGACGCTTTGTGGTTGCTCTGCCACGGGTCCGCGTCCACCGAAAGAGAGGCCTGCAGAAAGTATGGAGAGCACCTTCGACTTGCTTCCAAGGTCACGGAATTCCTTTGGGATAGGCTCCATGCGTCGCTGCCGAAAAAGAAGAGAAGATGTGATTCGCCGGACTGTGTCACCTTTCTGGGAGATGCTTCTGCACCGCCGGATGTCACCCGTATCTTGGAAAAAGGCCCCAAGTACAGCCTGGCGCCCAGGATGAAGCCTGTGGACAAGCTTGGATTGGTGCGAACTCTGGCGGATAAGGCGGCACACCAGGACAGGGACAGGTGCATATCTGAAGGTGTAGATGTTATTATGCGCACGTCAGGATATGGTCAAGCAGGCTTCAATTTGAGGCATGTTGTTTCACACTTCAAGAAAAATAACCTCCGTCTACTAGTAGCTGACAAGGAGGGCGGTAATTGTGGTAGCGGAAGAAAAGCTGTTCAAGGACAAGTCACGTGAGGACATAGCAAAACACTTCAAACCTGCTAAGGATGTTTCACTGAACAGGGTAAAATCGGAAACCAGAGCCTTATGTCAGAAGTTGGATCTATCCAGCTTAGGAAAGAAAGTGCTATCGTCAAAGAATGTTAACCTGGAAGTTTCTTTCAAAGCTAAAACCCACAAGAGTGGGTGTCCGTTCAGGGCTATAGTTACGGAGAGGGGTTCGTGGCAGGTGGAAGTGTGTGTGTGTGTGTGTGTGTGTGTGTGGGGGGGGGGGTTTCTACATAAACACCTGTCTGCGTTAGAGCTGGGGGATACTTTCCTGGTCAGGAATTCTGAAGAAATTTTAGAGTTCCTGCAGGGAGGAGTCCTTAAGGGGACAACAGGTTTCTCAATTGACGTGGAAGACCTTTTATATTCGGTCCCCCATGAACACCTTTTTGAGGCTGTCAGACTTTGTATTGTGGGCAACCTGGCGATTCCAAGCGGTTGGCCCAGGCTGCCCCTCCGAGAATCATAAGTGGTCATCTTGACCACGAGGGGGCCAAGGGCAACTGGCCACGCGAGCGGCCCTCCGCCGCTGATAAAAGGCCGTCGCAGCGGATGCGCGGGGGCGGTTGGGATCGCGGCGCAGGCGATAGCGGTCATTAAATGTTTACGTGTTGTTGAACCGGTGTGCTGTGTCATTCTCCGAGACGGGCAGCAGCAAGGGAAATCCCAAACTGGCGCCCAGACGTGATATGCTGCTCGTCTGGGAGGATGGCAGCAAACTGGGTTCGTTCTTACGTTTTACATAGTCAATTTTGCGTTCCCGAGTTTGCCCAAAGTTGTGGGGGCGTTTCTTCGCAAGCCTAAGTTCATCGACCTGCGGAAGTCTCCACTACAACACGATGCCGTCTACAGAGGACGCCGACAGGAAGGTGAGTGAGGACGACCTTTTGACGCTCGGTGCACTCGCGGATAACGCCGCCAGCGACATAAAACCAGACGCTAAGCCTGCAGTCTCAGTCCCGGTAGGCGCATCATTAGAATGTGGTCTAGCAGAACTAAGAGTGGCCATGACCATGCTTCTTAACATACAACGAGAGCAGATGATGCGCTCAAGACCCACTCCTGCTGGAAGTACGCCCCCCAGGGACTTCCTAAGACTCTCGCTTAGCGTTCCGGTTTTTTCGGGGTACGCAGATAGAAAGTCAGTCGCGATGTTCGTCTCGAAACTGCGGGACTACCAAGCTGCGTCGGGAATCGACGACGAAACCATCCTCACCCGCCTTTTGCCGGTTGCACTGACAGACAGTGCAGCACTGTGGAGGCAAAGACAAACTAAATTCACAAGTATGTCAGATTTTGAGGCACGATTTAGGACGGAGTTCCTGCCTCCGGATTACAGCGTGCGGATTAAGGACGAGCTGCGCGCGCGCACACAGCACCCGGAAGAGTCACTTATTGAGTTTGTAAGGGCTCTCCAGGGCCTGTACGATATCGCCGACGCCGCGGCACCGGACGCGGAGAAAGTACAACGCGCCATCCGCCAAAGCCACCCGCGTTTCCATCCCCATCTCAGGGGACGTACCTTTACGAATTTAGACGAGATGGCACGGGAGGCGATCACCATCCAGGCCGACATCCTCGCGGAACTAAGGTACCGACCCCCTCCACCGCAGAACATGACTCTGGAACCATCATTCGCGTGGTCTGGAAACGCACGTGCACATAGAGTCGAGAGAGAACAAGACGATTCCAATCAGGCGCCTGTCCCCCGAACCCCAGATCCTTGTGCATACGAATCGCGAACCCTAGATCCTCGTGCATACGAATCACGGAGGTGCAGCGGTTACGAAGGCACGCATTCACAACGCTACAGCCCCTCCATTGGTCAAGATGAGTTCTTGTCCTCTGGACCGGTAACGCGGAGCTTGGGAGAGGCAAAAGAGAGCGGGACACCGCACGAAGCCGACGGGCGGTCACGCCCCGTTGTTTTCGATGCGACCAGCCAGGACACATACACCGGGACTGCAGCGAACGGCAGCGGCCGCCTCAGACACAGGGAAACGGCTACGGCCGGCGGTGGTAAGAAATTTCTACTCTCCGCCGGCCGCGTCGAAAACACAAGCCACGAGATCGAGCCGCCGCAGCCGCCTTCGGGCCCCCCGGAGGCTCGCACGGGCTCCGGGGACAGACTCTTTTCTATCGACCCTCGGTGGCCCTCCACCACTTTTTCTTCCTGATAACACTCTCCGTTGTGAGACTCCCGGTGTGTCCGATTTTGCATGGACACCCGGGCGCCCAGCTCACATTGTTCGCGGTGTTGAGACTCCCGGCGTGTCTGCTATCGCATCGACAACCGGGCGGCCAGCTCGCAACCCTTTCCGTCATGAGACTCCCGGCGTGTCGGCGTTCGCTTTGACACCCGGGCGCCCAGCTCACACCGTTCGCGGTCTTGAGACTCCCGGCGTGTCTGCACTCGCATCGACAACCCACCGGCCAGCTCATAACACTTTCACTCCTCGTTGTGAGACTCCCGGCGTGTCAGATTTTGCATGGACACCCGGGCGCCCAGCTCACACCGTTCGCGGTCTTGACACTCCCGGCGTGTCTGCTCTCGCATCGACAACCGGGCGGCCAGCTCACAACCCTTTCCGTCATGAGACTCCCGGCGTGTCACCTTCCGCGTCGACACCCGGGCGCCCAGCTCACACCGTTCGCGGTCTTGAGACTCCCGGCGCGTCTGCTCTCGCATTGACAACCGGGCGGCCAGCTCATAACACTTTCACTCTTCCTCGTGAGACTCCCGGCGTGTCGGCTTTCACACCGACACCCGGGCGCCCAGCTCACACCGTTCGCGGTCTTGAGACTCCCGGCGTGTCTGCTTTCGCACAGACACCCGGGCGGCTAGCTCATAACTCTTCGTCGTGAGACTCCCGGCGTGTCGGCTTTCACACCGACACCCGGGCGCCCAGCTCACACCGTTCGCGGTCTTGAGACTCCCGGCGTGCCTGCTGTTGCAGTGACACCCGGGCGGCCAGCTCGCAATACTATCCGTCATGAGACTTCCGGCGTGTCGGCTTTCACACCGACACCCGGGCGCCCAGCTCACACCGTTCGCGGTCTTGAGACTCCCGGCGTGTCTGCTTTCGCACAGACACCCGGGCGGCTAGCTCATAACACTCTTCGTCGTGAGACTCCCGGCGTGTCGGCTTTCACACCGACACCCGGGCGCCCAGCTCACACCGTTCGCGGTCTTGAGACTCCCGGCGTGCCTGCTGTTGCAGTGACACCCGGGCGGCCAGCTCGCAACACTATCCGTCATGAGACTCCCGGCGTGTCGGCTTTCACACCGACACCCGGGCGCCCAGCTCACACCGTTCGCGGTCTTGAGACTCCCGGCGTGTCTGCTTTCGCACAGACACCCGGGCGGCTAGCTCATAACACTCTTCGTCGTGAGACTCCCGGCGTGTCGGCTTTCACACCGACACCCGGGCGCCCAGCTCACACCGTTCGCGGTCTTGAGACTCCCGGCGTGTCTGCTTTCGCACAGACACCCGGGCGGCTAGCTCATAACACTTTTCGTCGTGAGACTCCCGGCGTGTCGGCTTTCACACTGACACCCGGGCGCCCAGCTCACACCGTTCGCGGTTTTGAGACTCCCGGCGTGTCTGCTTTCGCACAGACACCCGGGCGGCTAGCTCATAACACTCTTCGTCGTGAGACTCCCGGCGTGTCGGCTTTCACACCGACACCCGGGCGCCCAGCTCACACCGTTCGCGGTCTTGAGACTCCCGGCGTGTCTGCTTTCGCACAGACACCCGGGCGGCTAGCTCATAACACTCTTCGTCGTGAGACTCCCGGCGTGTCGGCTTTCACACCGACACCCGGGCGCCCAGCTCACACCGTTCGCGGTCTTGAGACTCCCGGCGTGTCGGCTTTCGCACAGACACCCGGGCGGCTAGCTCATAACATGCACTCTTCGTCGTGAGACTCCCGGCGTGTCGGCTTTCACACCGACACCCGGGCGCCCAGCTCACACCGTTCGCGGTCTTGAGACTCCCGGCGTGTCTGCTTTCGCACAGACACCCGGGCGGCTAGCTCATAACACTCTTCGTCGTGAGACTCCCGGCGTGTCGGCTTTCACACCGACACCCGGGCGCCCAGCTCACACCGTTCGCGGTCTTGAGACTCCCGGCGTGTCTGCTTTCGCACAGACACCCGGGCGGCTAGCTCATAACACTCTTCGTCGTGAGACTCCCGGCGTGTCTGCTTTCGCACAGACACCCGGGCGGCTAGCTCATAACACTCTTCGTCGTGAGACTCCCGGCGTGTCGGCTTTCACACCGACACCCGGGCGCCCAGCTCACACCGTTCGCGGTCTTGAGACTCCCGGCGTGTCTGCTTTCACACAGACACCCGGGCGGCTAGCTCATAACACTCTTCGTCGTGAGACTCACGTCGTGTCGGCTTTCACACCGACACCCGGGCGCCCAGCTCACACCGTTCGCGGTCTTGAGACTCCCGGCGTGCCTGCTGTTGCAGTGACACCCGGGCGGCCAGGTAACAACATTCTCGGTCATGAGACTCCCGGCCCGTCTGCCTTTACACTGATCCCCGGGCGAACAGCTTCCACTGTTCCCGGCCCTACGCTACCCGAAGCAACTGCATTTGAGTTGGACCCTAATGCGATTCCCTTTCAGCCAAAGGCCGGCCCGATCCCCAGCGTCAGAGCCACTTTGAAGTTCTCAACACCAAGGATGGTCGCTCTGGATGGCCGGCCACTAATGGACTCGCACCAGCCGACGGGGGTATAGGAACAACCTCGCTAAACGAGGAACCGACAGTGCTCATCCCAGCTGT